CTGCGCAAATCAGGACGAAAAAGTGACCATAATAGGAACACACCTTCTTTATTACATCATGGTCCCATTCATCGGTTTGAGGTGATCGGTGTATATCATATCATACTTTGATTTCACGATTTATTTACGATTCTGGCCGGAATCGCCGTCATTTTTGCGATATACATAATCGAGATACATAATGGACAATGCTGTATAAGTAATAAAATATTTATAAAAATAATTTTATCAAGGTTAAATGATTAGGTTAGGTTATTAATTGATTTGTTTTCACTTTTATGGGTAAATTTGGTAAATATTAAGAATAGCCCGCTCATCTCAAATTTTGATAAAAATATACTCAATCGATGCGTTTTTGTACGAAACGAATGAATCTGGCAGATAAAAGTGTCGCTCTGCCCCGCGAACCGAGATATTTAACGTTAAAGTTGACGACTATTCAGGTTAGGAAATCTGTCATACCGACTCGATGAGCGCTATATGTACGAACTGTACTGTTGTGCGCATGCTCTGTGACGAACTGTAAATAGGCCTTAAAGGCCTAAACACAATGCGAGGCAATAACGATAGCGATAGACATAGCGATAGCGATAGACATAGCGATAGGAACAGAGGAATCCAACATACAGGAATCCATATGTCAATGCACATAGGAACATGGAAATTGCTGTGCAAGACGTAGTTGGGGATGCCAAATTGTGGCCAAAATTTATAAGGAAAATGTTTCGGGATTATAATTTAATCGATCATAAACGGATGATTCTTGTAAATTTCGCGTACATAAATGCTATATCAGAAGCATTTTTGCACGATATTTTGTCTTTTACGTTAAAAAAAGCATATACGCAATATTCGCAAAATAAACATAAAAAGTCGGTAATTTAAAAATACAAAAGTACTGTTTCAAAAACGTAAATGTATGCATTTAAAGCAGTGAATTTGTGTTTTTGAAACAGTACTTTTGTATTTTTAAAGCACCGACTTTTTGTGTTTTTGAAATAGTACTGTTGTATTTTTAAAGCACCGACTTTTTATGTTTTTGAAGCAGATCTTTTATGAAACTATTTAAAATGTATATATATTATTATAAATGTATACCTTTTCAATTTTTTTTATATGGATAAAAATTTAAATCCAACATTTCTTTAAAATATA